TAATATTTAATATGAACTTGTTGTTTTGTAAATTATAGAAATTTATTATTGTTGATTACTGCTATTATTAAATATTTCATATCGACTTATTTTCTTTTCAAGTTGTAGGAATTTATTATTATTATTAGTTCTCTTTCTTGTTAAATATTTCATATCGACTTATTTTCTTTTCAAGTTGTAGGAATTTATTGTTATTAATATCTGCTGTTATTAAAAATTTAATATCAACTTATTTTGTAAATTGTAGGAATTTATTATTATTATTAGTTCTCTTTCTTGTTAAATATTTAATATCGACTTATTATTTTGCAAGTTGTAGAAATTTTTTGACATTGATATCTGCTGTTATTAAAAGTTTAATATCAACTTGTTATTTTGTAAATTGTAGAAATTTATTATTATTATTAATTCTCTTTGTTGTTAAATATTTAATATTATCTTATTGTTTTGTAAATTCTAGAAATCTATTATTATCGATGTCTGCTGTTATTAAGTATACGTAATTGAGTTTTATTATGAACGTCTGCTGTTATTAGGTATTTTCCATTAACTCTTTATTCGATAAATTCTGTGGATTTATTATTATTAAATATATTTCGCTTTTATCGTTATTAATATTCGATATTATTAAATTTTGGTTGTTAACTTCTCATTTTAGAAATTCTATTTATTTATTATAATTGATGGCATGCATTTATACTGATGTCTACTGATGTCTTATTATTACCGCGTTATTAAATGTTTGTCATTAACTCGTTCTTTTGTGAACGATAGAAATTTATTATTATTAATGTCTGCTGTTATTATTTACATTTAGTTTGTTGCATTACGAGTTATATCAATTTATTATCAACGTCTGCTATTATTAGCTAGTTACCATTAACTTCTTACCTGATAAATAGTGCAAATTTATTATTATTAAATATTTACCATTAACTTCTTGCTTTATAAATTATAGGAATTTATTATCCTCGATATCTCGGTTATTAAATGTCTGTTATTAACGTATTATTATACGAATCGTATCAATTTTTCATTATTAATATCATTAATATCGCGTGATAAAATATTTTGACAAAAGATAATTCCTCGAAAATACACTGCTCCTAAGAGATTCATTTAAACGAACATTTCGTCCACTGAAAAATTTCAACAAGCATTTAATTATGGGATTACAACATATTTCGTTGTTTTTCAAATTACTCCGTGCTGCGAATATATTTTCTCAGAATTGACGGTTTCTACGATGTTTCCGAACGGCGAGTGCTTGGAGATATAAATTAATTTTGTTAAAATTCCTGCGATTTGAAGGCAAAAAAAGGACCGAATTAGTTCAGTGAAAAGTCATTTCGCGATATATGCAACAAAGGAACGTGCAATAAAATATTACCGAATATTTCAGAAATTAAAAAACAATATACTTCATCAAACGGGTAGAATCAAAAAATAATGAAATAACTACCCTTTCATACTCAAAGCAACAAAGTAATATGCTATATCAGCCGTTCACTGCACAACTCGATAAAATAAAAACTCGACTTTTTGAAAAATCTTAAATATAAAAAGTTATGACTATACCAAGTGCTTTGACAGTTAAATTTAATCCATTAAATTAAATAAATCTTAATTATCAATGAATTAAATTATTTTATTATTTAAAATTAATTAAATAAATCTTAAATTTAAGTGTCAAAGCACTTGGTATAGTCATAACCTTTTATATTAAAGATTTTTCAAAAAATGGAGTCAATAATATCTATCTCTATTAATTGCTTCCCAATAAATTAAACCGATAGAATTAAAAAAGGAAAAACTATTATCAAACAATAAATTAATTAAGTATTTTATATCTGTCTCTATTAATTCCCAATAAGTTAAACCTATAGAATTAAACAAAAATGAAATAAAATATTACCAAACACCCTTTCATATTTCCAAGTAATTGAAAGCAATAAAACAATCAAATATTCCATATCAATTTCTATTAATTACTTCCCAAGAAATTAAACCGATATAATTAAAAATATATATATATTACCAAACAATAAAATAATTAAATATTTTATATCTATCTCTATTAATTATTTTCCAATGAATTAAATCTATAAAATTAAAGGAAAAAATATTATCAAACCCTCTTTCATATTTCCAGATAATTCGAAACCTTTAACCACCGTTCTCCATCATCCCCGGGAATCCAACCCTCGCAAGCATCACCCACGACCAACCCACGCGAGTCCAACCCACTCGCTCAGAATCCTCGAGCACCCGAGTTTCCGTCAAAAATCAGCCAACCGACTTTTCCGTTGCACGATTTAATTATCAAAATTGTCATTCGTCGAATTCGTCGTCTCGTTGGTTATTAATGGAACGCGAAACTCTTGGCGAATCGAGCCGGGTCGGAAGCAGGTGGGGAGAAGCTGGAAAATAATATCCCGGCCGGTTCATTAACGCGAAACGAACATTCCCAAACGAGAAGTTTAAATTATCTAAATCTCATGTCAGAGCCCGCGAATTAGCCGCGGCTTTGTTGTAATCCCCGCGAGCTTAGCGAGCCGTGCTCCAACCCCCCACCGACCCCTATTAACTCCGCGATTTTTCAGCAGTTTCGTATCCGCTCGCCGGAATTAATCTTCGAAATGAAGATGGAACAAAAGCGGAAGCCAATTGCCGCGAGTATCACGGCGAACGGAAACGCGGTTAACGGTGGGATCATTTTGCGAGCAGTTTCCCGTAAACGCATTAAAAAAATACCCCAATCCCACGACGGGGTGCACGTCGAATGGGATTACGTTGCGGAATAGTTTAAGCGAGCACGGTGAAATTATAGGGGATTAGGTGTCCTTGCTGTGTTGTTTGCTATCTCTGTCTTTCTTTCTTCTATTTATTTATTTTATTTTGGATTTCGGATTTTATGAAGGGCACGACAGAAATTTTGGTACTTGGATTAGATGTTTTTGATATGTTATTTGAACTCTCTGATTTATGTTCTTCTGTTTATTTATTTTATTTTTATTTTGGATTTCGATTTGTGAATTTCGGATAGGGTCTTTTGGTAATTTGAAGAATTTTTGGAAGATTTCCTATTGGTAATTGATTATTCGAATCACGAGTGATTTTTTGAAAGGTATGACAAAATTTTGGTATTTGGATTAGGTATTTTTGATATATTATTTGAGCTCTCTGCCTTATTTTCTTCTATTTATTTATTTTATTTTTATTTTGGATTTCGATTTGTGAATTTCGGATAGGGTCTTTTGGTAATTTGAAGAATTTTTGGAAGATTTCCTATTGGTAATTGATTATTCGAATCACGAGTGATTTTTTGAAAGGTATGACAAAATTTTGGTATTTGGATTAGGTACTTTTGATATATTATTTGGTCTATCTGCTTTATTTTTTCCTATTTATTTATCTTTTTTTATTTTGGATTTCGATTTGTGAATTTGGGATAGGGTCTTTTGGTAATTTGAAGAATTTTTGGAAGATTTCCTATTGGTAATTGATTATTCGAATCACGAGTGATTTTTTGAAAGGTACGTCAAAATTTTGGTATTTGGATTAGATATTTTTGATATATTATTTGGGCTCTCTGCCTTATTTTCTTCTATTTATTTATTTTATTTTTATTTTGGATTTCGATTTGTGAATTTCGGATAGGGTCTTTTGGTAATTTGAAGAATTTTTGGAAGATTTCCTATTGGTAATTGATTATTCGAATCACGAGTGATTTTTTGAAAGGTATGACAAAATTTTGGTATTTGGATTAGGTACTTTTGATATATTATTTGGTCTATCTGCTTTATTTTTTCCTATTTATTTATCTTTTTTTATTTTGGATTTCGATTTGTGAATTTGGGATAGGGTCTTTTGGTAATTTGAAGAATTTTTGGAAGATTTCCTATTGGTAATTGATTATTCGAATCACGAGTGATTTTTTGAAAGGTATGACAAAATTTTGGTATTTGGATTAGATATTTTTGATATATTATTTGGGCTCTCTGTCTTATTTTCTTCTATTTATTTATTTTATTTTTATTTTGGTTTTCGATCCGTGGATTTGGGATAGGGTCGTTTGGTGAGTGGAAGAATTTTTGGAAGATTTCCTATTCGTAATTGATTATTCAAATCATGAATGATTTTATGAAGGGCACGAGAAAAATTGTGATATTTGGATTAGGTGTCTTTGCTGGATTATTTTGTCCCTTTGTCTTCCTTTCTTCTATTTTCTTTTTCTTTTATCTTGGATTTCGTTTCGTCAATTTGAGATAGGGTTGTTTAGTAATTTGAAGAATTTTTGGAAGATTTCCTATTGATAATTAATTATTCGAATTACGAGTGATTTTGTGGATGTCGAGGAAAACATTGTGGTATTTGGATTAGGTGTTTTTGCTAGATTATTTAATCCCTTTGTCTTCCTTTCTTCTATTTTCTTTTTTCTTTTTATTTCGGATTGAATTCATGGAATTGAGATAAGGTTGTTTAATAATTTGAAGAATTTTTGAAAGATTTCCTATTAATAATTAATAATTCGAATCACGAGTGATTTTATGAAGGTGAAGAAAAAAATTTTAGTATTTATATTAGTTACTTTTCTAACATTACCTAGTCCCTCAGTCTTCTTTTCTCCTATTTATTCTTTTCATTTTGGATTTCTATTCGTGGATTTGAAAAATTTGAGGTAATTCGAAGAATTTTTAGAAGATTTTCCCAATATACATCTCTAACCCGCACACATCCTGAGTCTCAAAAAACAAGCTCCAATTGATCCTCATAAGCTATCCAAAAACCCTCTGATACCTTTATCAGTCTCTCATAAGTCTTCCCAAACCCTAGCACCCAGAGTACCTCACCAATACGTACCCCAGATCCTAGAAACAGCTCGTGCATCAGGACCCAGCCGATACTGTCGCAACAGCCCCTTAATTTTAAAACTAGAAGTAACTAGAAAAACTAGAACTTGAAACTCGCGTCTAACAGGGTGGAACGTTCTGTTACAGAGCCTGGAGGAACGCGACCGCAAGCACGCAGTGCACAAGGAACAGCTGTCCCGCGAGCAGAGGTTCCTCAGGCGACGGCTGGAGCAGCTGATGAACCAGACGGGCCTGCACGGCTTGCACGGTCTGCATGGCCTCCATGGGCTCAGCTCCAGCGCCCCGACCGGTTCCTCTTGCGGCCCCGGAGCCGCCGCAGCCGCGGCTCTCCTCTCCAAACGGCGCAGCGTCTCCGAGTGCTCGCTAGGCACGGCCTCGTCCACCAGCTCCACGGCCAGCTCCAGGAACTCCGACAGGTCTGCGGGCAGTCCCTCCGTCTCGGAGTCCGGTGAGTGCTGCTCTCCTCTGTGCTGCATGATGATGGCTAGCCACCTTGGTGGGCCTCTTCGCGCGTTGCTGATCGATCTCACGTGAGATCTACACGATGGTCTATGTATAATTCGAACGTGTAGTCCGTACGACGAGACGAGATACCGAATGCGACGACTGCGTGATCGGATCAGGGCCGACTTCGCAATACCCGGGCCCAGTGATTAGGTCCTGAAGGGGTTCTAGGATTGTGGGATGAAATGGGGGTCCAGGAATTGGGTCCTGGTTTGGAAGATCTGGGAAATAGATCAGTTAGTTGATGTCCACTTAGCATGTCGAGTGCGGCGCCGATTTTGCTATACTTTCCGCTCAGGCGGCAGCTAGCGAGCACTGGCTGCCGAGCGCTCAAGTATACCGAAGGGTATGAGCAGAAGATTACTTCGTTTCACTTTGTCGTTTGGACTGTGAGAATGGTACAGCCAATGCACAAATATACAAATTATAAACAGAAGATAATGGGGTGGGGAATGCCAGAAAGGCAAAAAGGCGATCACCAAGAAACGATCAGTCGAAAACAGCCACGGAAGTGTGAAGATTTACTTTAGCAGAAGGAATTAAATTTTTACAATATATTAATTGTCATTGATAATTTAACCCTTGACAATGCCAGTCTTACGCACCGATGATGATCAAACGAAAAATTCGCTGTCAGTCCCTAGAATCCACACTGTCCAAACGAAAAGTCTACTGTCGGTCCCTAGGGACTGATGCCGCCTGAACGGAAAGTTCACTGCCAGTCCCTAGGGACTGACGTAGCACTCAACGTGTTAACTGATTACGCAGAAGTTGATGTAAGCATCGGTGTCTTGTCTCTTTGGATGAACTATAGTGTTATGGAGGTGTTGGATGACTAACGATTCGTTGGTCCTTAGTCACTAGAAGGACCTGGCTGATAAACCCAGGCCAATTTCAGAGTCCAAAAGCAATTGACTCATTCCCACTAGGGGCCAATGGTCATCACCCCGTCAAAAACTGACATTATATAAGCACCCACAAAATTTGCGAAAAGTTAATTTTCAGTTTAGTAGTTAATTCAGTCAATTCTAGTTTCAATTTCTGTTTTGTGTTTTCCTCTTCGCCGATTTGTATTTTTCCAACGTAGCCTTGTTGCTAGAACCCGTGTTGTATATTGAAATCCGGGTTCCAACGTTTTCCCCCCCCCCCCCTAATTGAGGTCCATGGTGCACCAAACACTATCCTTGTTAAGTGGTGTGTAGTCTCTTCGTTGGACTACAGGAGTCGAAAGAAAAATGGAGGGATGTGTTTGTTCCTGGGGCCTGTTAGTGGACCCATCAGCAAGGCTACCTAGCATGTATTACCTATAGCGAAAATTTTTTCGGATATACATTTAGATAATAAGTAATATGAAGTGAAAGAAAGGAAAAAATAATTCAAATTTTGGTTTACTTTTGAGGAAGTAATCGAGTTTGGGTGAAAACTTTTTGATAAGGGTAATAGTTTTGATTGATACGCTACTGATTTGGCATTGCTAGGTTAGGATATGAGGGAATCTTTTTATTCAGTATAATATATAGTTATATAGTTTCTTTTGGAGTGGGGAATTTTTTAAAATAGTTTTGCCGAATGTATTTTGCATTTTTGAAATTGCAGTTATTTTCTTATGATTCTTTTATGCGGGGTTTAAAATTTTTGTTTCCCTAAAAAAAGGACATTTCTTTTTTTATTGGAACGAATTATTTTTGAATTTATTAGGAAATTATTATTAAGAATTATTTTTGGAGCCCATAGGGCTTCTTGAAATGCCTTTCAGAATTTTTATAAAATGACTATCAATTCAGTATTAAATTATACTTCGTTTCTCATTGTTATGATTATCGTTATATTATAAACGTATGCTAAAAGAATGCAATGCAATATTAAGCAAAATGGAGGACTTTGTCGATCGATCAGCAACGTGTTGAAATATTTGGAACAAACTGTTTTAATATGTTTTCCTTGTGATATGAGCGACTACGTGACTAGCTCGTATATTGAAAATGTATATCATAAATAAACGGCAAATAAACAAAAGACGAAAACGAAAGCAGTCGCGTGAAGACTGCTTACGCAGGCGCAGCTAACGCTAGCGCCCCAGCGGTAACTCGGAGAACTACGCGCCGGAGCGCGATGGCGACAATCTAAATTTCAAAACACTGTGCGTTCAGTGACCGAATATACAGAAACGTGATTAGGTGTTGACAAAGGTATCGAAGAAGAATTCTGTGAACGTTTTTAATTAGATTCATCGCCATAAGAGACTAAAAATGGCGCCTGAATTGGATCCACGAATATTTTTCACTCCGATCATTATACAATATTTTTACCCCGTATCGCGAAATTATAATAGAATAAAAATCAACTGTTTTATTTGAGAATCAGCCCAAAGGAGACCCAATGAAGCTTCGTATTTTATTAATCTTATAATTGTTCATATCAAACTATAAAAATATTTTCTATCATAGAAAATCGCGAGAAAGAGGAGCTACAAATTAATTTATTTGTACCTCATGAGAACCTGCCCAAACGATCACAAATGTACGGAATTAAGGAAAATAAATTTACTTAGTCTACGGAATTAAACCGGGAGCCTCTTTCTCGCGTTGATCGATGTCGCCGACTTGGGTCAGCGGCGTCGCTGTATTTTTCCGCGATCGTAGCCATCGATCGCTGTCATGCGGACGCGGCATAAGGTCTTCGCACCGCGGCGCGCTTTGGTCGTTGCACCAGCGGAACGATTTTAGGCCGCGGACTTCTAATTCCGTGATATCCCAAACGATGAAGCAGCAAGGTTGGCTGAGTCAGCTCGTTAGGAGAATATCTTGCCAGGCAAAAGCCTTCCCGTATAAATATCGTTCGTGGTTGAGAGTAAAATTGGAGCAATCCGCGAATCATGAGTCAACTGTTGCGACTCATCCCGAATGGTCCCGGTTTCAATGTCACGGCTTCGAGTTCGATAACGAGTCTGGGTGACTTCTGGTGAGTAAGTGGAAATTTCGTGGAATTTTTTTTTTATGTTTGTATCCAAGGAGAAAATATTTCCTAATATCGTTTTAAGAGGACAATTCGTTGCAATATGAAATGGGGATTGAAAAATTAATTTTAGGGTCTTCCACTGGATTTTTTTTTTTTAATAATTACATTCATGGAAAAAATATTTTCTAATATCGCTCCAAGAGGATATTTCGTTCCAATATGAAATGGGGATTGAAAAATTAATTTTAGGGTCTTCTACTGGAATTTCTTTTTCTTTTTTTATTTATTATATTCAAGGAAAAAATATACTTTAATATCGTTTTAAAGGGACAATTCGTTCCATTGCTTAATGTGGATTAGAAAATTAATTTCAGGGTCTTATACTGGATCTTTTTTTATAATTTATAATTTTATTTTATTTAATGTTTCTTTTATATTTGTAGAAAAAATATTTTCTAACATCGTTTTAAAAGGACATTTTGTTTCCAGTGTGTAATAGAGATTAAAAAATTAATTTCTTATTATATGTCTTATTTATTGTAAAGAAATTACAGAAATTAATAATTAATTAAATTATCGAATAACTTGTAAAGTATGTAACAATTCTAAATTTATAATATTTTGAAATATTCCATCTGAAATTCGTTTTGAACAGAATGCATTAAGCTCAATCTTTAATTAAAAATTGTTATCTCCAGAAAAAAATATAAACTTCAAAATTTCCCAAATTTTTCGAGTTTCGAAATTAGTTCGCAATATTCTTCTCCACCCAAAAAATATTTAAAATGCAGTTCGTCATTGGGAATATAAATCCAGTTGAACCAATAATTAATCATCACAAACGAAGATAGAAAATGATATAAATCAATAATTTTCCGAAATTTTTCAAATTTTACGTGGTTCATAATTCTTTGTCCAAGGAATATTTGCAATGTGGGATATTTCAGAGGGGTTGAGATGGTTATAGGGTATAAGGAGGAGTTTTAGTTACTGATAGTTAGGGATGGCTGATTAGTTAGTCGCTAATTAGCGGTTACTCCGCTTTCCTTCAACTTCGAGCCAATCGGAATCGAGAGAGGATTAATATTACGCGATCCTGCAACAATTGCCGCGATTTTCGCGAACTGGAAAATATCGCTAACAGGTTTCTTTCCATCCCTGGCTCGTTTAAATATGTTTACCAACCCCGGCGATCGAAGCGATCGCGTATCCAAGGAAGCTATTTCGTGGAGGAAGTTGGATCCTTGCATATCAATATTTAATTTAACTTTGTAATTAGCCAGACCCCTCTGTGTGCTCGTTTAAGAACGCCCAAATCGATGGCTCGCTCTGTTTGTGGCGATTGCAGAGGATCCCGGGTTCCTCTCGTTCTGACACCGGATTCCATCTTTCCTCTCGCGAATTTTAAAATAAAAGCTTTCAAAAATCAGAGAAAGCTATTTTCACGCTTAATATATTTCGGCAAGCTTTAATTCGAAATATCCGATTTTTGAAATTCGAAATGATTTATCTTCGATCGTAGAAAATGTGAAAATTGAATTATTCGTATGAAATGAATGGGATATTGCTCAGAATAATTGATTTTAATTTCTTAACAGTTCCTGGGATCAAAATATTTTCGAGAAACTGCATGCTTCCTTAAATTTAATTTCTTTAAAATTAAAATGAAGACAGTTTACAAAAATTATTTTTTATTTTAAATTTGACAGTGGTTATGGGGAATACAGAGTCCAGGGAATTGGAGGAAGGTATAGCAAGTTTTACCAAATTTTATCTCGGATTTTATATCTTTCAGAAGAAATAATATACATTTTGGGACCTAAAATTGAAAATTCGATTATGGTACTGAATAATATATCGAGTTTCGAGATAACAGAATTCAAACATCAAAAATCGATACGTTCAAGATTATTCCAGTTTCGGAATGCTTAACTTGAAACCCGAAATGTATATCTCAAGGCACCTAATCGTTGAAAATCTAATGAT